GCGAAGTTAGCTGTTTATGATTATAAGTAGGTGAAGTTAGTTGAATATTGTACAAATTTTCATTTCATTTTTTCGTAGAACATTTTCTTGCTCCGTAATTTTGTAATTTTTGACAAAAAAAAACATTAAAAATGGAGAAATATTTTATTGTGCGTGGATGTGCAAGTGGTTGAGCATCTGATCAAAAAAATAAACTGAATATGACTTTTATTGACTGCACTTAGTGATCGCAGCGCGTCATTGATGGTGTCCATATTTCTGGGACAATATTTTCTACGGCGATCGTTCTCCTGTTCTCTAACCTTCATGCACGTAGCGATCGTTCTCCTCAGTAGACAGAGAAACCTATAGACTAATGATCGGCGTGGCCTCGAGTGAGAAAGAACGACAACGAATTTTTAGGTTATAGAATAATCTTTATGACTTTTAAACACATTTAGATAAAAATTTTAATTGTTCTAAGAACTGAACTAAACCTTAAGCTCACAAAACACTTTTTTCTCACTTAAACCAACTTGTAAACTTCTTAAATCGCTACGCTGTCAAAGTTGTTTAGCAAACTGTAGAGTTTACTAAACAAAAAAAAAACGGCACGGATAAAGGGACAAACAATCACACCGCTCTATCTCATTTCTATGCAAGACGTATGCATAAATCTATCTTTTTCGTGTGCGAATGCGAAAGAAGGCGTCAATTTGTCTATAGGTTTTTCTATCTACATTCTCCTCATAGATAAGAGTGTCGTAGGGTTTTTTGGCGGGAACTCCAAACGAGGCGGCCGATTTAATAATTTTTACTGTTTTTCGTTAAAAATATCCTGTGTGAATATTACCAAAACTTATTTTAGTCAGTGTAAATAATTGTACATTGTGTGAATTATCAAAATGAATGAACCGGAGGACCCAGGTGGAACTTCGAAACGATCCAAAATTGTTCGTAAAAGAGGTACGAAGGAATGTGGACCTGAAGTAGGCGGCGGTGAGGATGACTTTATTCCGTTTTTTAAGCCAGGTTATCTGAGACTTTATCCTGAACATTGTACAAATACGGACTTCAAAGTTTTTGTTGAAAGCCGGGACCAACAGGTTAAAATTGGAAATAAAAGCCCAGTTTACTTAAATCATATTTTTACTTCGGAGGTGAAAGGTGTGGCAGCTTTACATAGAGTCAATGCTAATAAAATTGCTGTTGTCTTTAAACAATACAACACTGCAAATAATTTCATCACAAATACAGACTTTTTAACAAAGCACTACTTGAAGGCACATATCCCTGCAGCGCAGATAGAAAAAACTGGAATCATCAGATATGTGCCTACCAGCATTTCGAACAAGGATTTATATACGAAACTGTCTTCGATCTATGAAATAATTTCAGTGAGAAGATTCACGAAAAAAAGTCGGTAAAAGTACTGTAGGCCTCGAGACTGTCAGTATAACTTTCTTGTCAAATATTCTGCCAGATAACGTCCAATATGACCTATTTTCGTTCAGGGTGTTTGAATATGTCCCGCCGTTACAGCAATGCTTCCGGTGCTTCAGGTTCAACCATCCTGCGAAAATTTGTAATGGTAAACAACGTTGCTCGATATGTGCTGGGGAGCATAATTTCAGAGACTGCGATAAAAAAAGAGAACCTGTGTTGTGTCAATTGCAGTGGCCCTCACCTGGCTATTTCCATATCTTGCCCAATAAAAATGAAAAAAATACTTGAAAAAAAAAAGGGTAAAATTACTTATGCCTCTGTTGCAAATACAATTACGTCATCTGATTTTCCGTCTTTACCGGCACAGTCGAACAGCATTGTTAAGAGCCTACCATCAATAAGCCAAAATGTACATAAATTAAATAAAAATGTAAAAATTATAAATAAAACAGTGCCTGAACCCAACTTGAACCAAACTCAACTAAAGGCTCAAATTGCAAACAATAAGAATATTCTGATGGCAATGGTTCAAACTTTAGTTGAATTGGGTAATAAAACAGATAATGAACCTGTGACTACTCTGTTCATTAAAGACTTACTTTTAAAAAATCTGTCACATTAATGGACAGTACAGTACAGAACATACAGCAGTTATGTATAGCTCAGTACAATATTCAAAGTATACATAGGAAAAAACCCTTACTGTCTAAATTTTTAGCTGAACAAAATGTTGATATATGTCTACTCAATGAAACTTGGCTTAAAGATACTCAGCATTTTAAAATTTCGGGATATAATTCCCACTATCATAATGCTCAAAATGAGCATGGTGGAGTAGCAATTTTGATCAAACCGTATTTTAAATATAATATTATTCAAACCAGATTTTACCAAGATATTCAGACTATAGCATTATCGTTATATGTAAGTGGTAAACACTTAACGATTCTATGTGTATACTGCCCTCCCTCGAATGGTAACTTCAGAATAAGTAAACTGCGTAATATAATTAGAGATTTGCCTAAGCCAATATACGTGGCTGGAGATTTCAACGCTCATCATGTGGCATTTGGATGTATGACCACGAAAAGTCGGGGTCATCAATTATACGATTTAATTGATGAATTTGATCTGTGTGTCCTTAACAATGGAAGCTTCACTACTATTAATTATTCTAACCGAAATCCTTCAGCTATTGATGTCAGCTTTTGTAGTGCTCCAATCACTCCACTATGCGAATGGTGGGTGCATGATGATTGTATGGGTAGCTATCATTTTCCCACGCTTACTCGTGTTTTATTGTCCGTTGATAGATACCAAATTAATCCTCCCATTGAAAAATTCTTATACAACAAGACAAACTGAACGAAATACAATGAGCTGTCTATAACTGCTTTTTCTAATTTTGAAGTTAATAATGAGAATCCATTACAGTCATATGACGAATTTATCGAAAGACTTGATACACTTAAGAGGGATACTGTACCAAAGTTTGTCAAAGCAAATAATTATCGTTGCAAACCTCCAGCACCTTGGTGGAGCGACATATGTGAACAGAGTGTTATTAAAACTTATGAAGCTTTAAAACTGTACAGAAGGGATCCAACCATTGATAATTATATTAATTACAAAAGACTTAATGCTGTTAAGAAAAAGATTATTTCAGAACATAAACGCAATGGTTGGGTGAACATCTGTAATATTTTTAACAGAACTACACCTGTTAATATTATTTGGAAATACATCAAGTTATTTAAACGAATAAAATGTAATAATAGAACATATAAAGATGAATTTGTTGAACCTCTCTTAGAAAAATTATCACAAAATGGATGTAGGGTTATTGATAATCTAGAAAGTTATTTTCAAATTAATAATAGCCTTCAGAAGTCCAGTTTCCTCATAGAACCCTTTACTTGGAGTGAGTTTTGTACAAGTTTACAATCCAGACGAAACACAACCCCTGGTTTAGATGATTGTCCATACATTTTGATTAAAAACCTAAATCAGTCCGTTCAAAAAAAAAACTATTAGCTAATCTTAAAGCTCTTTGGCACTTAAAAAAAATTCCTGAATCTTGGAAAACACAGTGTGTAATCCCTCTACTTAAGCCTGACAAGCCACCTGAAGATCCTAATTCGTATCGTCCCATATCATTGTCATCTTGTGTTGAAAAGCTTAATGAAAACATGATAAAGATGCGTCTTGAGTATTATGTAGAGGCGAACAACATCATTCCACATGTTCAATATGGCTTCTGGAGAGGGCGAAGTTGTGCTGACAGCTTCATCTCTCTCTTGTCAGATCTGAAATATGCCAATAATAATAATAAGTCCAGTGTTTGTGTTTTTCTGGATGTTCAAGGTGCATTTGATAATGTTGACCCTGGCATTTTGGTTCAAGTTCTTTCTGACATTGGTATACCAGGCATGCTTTGTCATTGGTTATTTAATTTTTTAACAGATAGAACTTTGTATATAAGATATAATAATATTCTCCATGGTCCCAGAAAGGCCTCCAAAGGTACAATGCAGGGGGCTACATTATCTCCATTGCTGTACAATATATATACTAGTCAAATTCTTAATTTTGTAAATATAGAAGGTGTAAATATTCTACAATTTGCGGATGATCTTGTAATATATTGTACAGACCACAGTGTAGATAGAGCTGTAAATAATATAAATAATGCTTTAGACCAATTGTACATATATTATAATGACAGGTTGGCTCTAAAGATTAACCCCAACAAAAGCAAGGCCATGATTTTTAGTAAAGATTTCCCCTCTAATGGCATACTCTACAATAATCATCCAATTTCAGTTGTACCTAACCATAAATTCTTGGGTGTCATTGATCATTGATAACAAACTTTGTTTTGATTTACATATCAATCACATTATAACTAACTCTAAGGGGTAAATGGTATAGAAATGTTCAAGAAAATCTGCCTGTAACACCATGGTATAACAAACTGAAAATGACCAGTCGGGACTTTATTACGACTATAAACAGACTGCGTTTTGGTCACTCCACCGTCCCGGCCCACCTGGCTCGGTTGGGCATAATGGAGAGCAGCTACTGCACCTACTGTAATAATTCTGTTGGTGATATCGAACATTTCATATTTATATGTGAGTGCTTTTCATTTGAGAGATTGATTCTTGTCAGTGAAATAAGTGACATAGTGCAAAATCAAGTGATCGAGTGACAGTGCAAGATCCCTCCCGCCGCCTGAGTGATATGTTAAAAAATAGATCCTATTACGTGCCTCTATATAAATTTATCAAAAATACAGTGGGGAAATTATAATAAACCGAATAAAAATACTCAAGACCTGGCCTAAAGGTCTAGATACCAGGCCATAAACTCCAAAAAAAAAAACCTAGATTTCTCTGTCTATAGTTCTCCTTCTCTCTCCTACATGGTCCTAATCGTCCTAATCTGTCATCACCAGTCATCACAGACAATCTGTCATTCAAATTTCTATTATTCTTATAATTGTCTTGTTAAATAGGTAATTCGTTACTTACAAAAGTTCAACGATCTATTAATTATTTAAAAACGTTGATAAGCTGCAAGACGTCCGTGGGTTCAACGTAAGTATCTCATTATGTAACAGTGCTTAATATTTTACTACATAATTAAAGGTTAGAACAATATCGGTATTTTAAAAACAGTCTTGTTTCAATTAATGCTATTCATTAACAGCTTATCGTCCAAAAACCACAAAGCCGAGTAAAATTATTTAATAGCTTATTTGTTTAATTTATTAAAAACCACCACTCGTTCAAATCTCACCGTCAACTCCGCACGTTATAATGATATGTAACTTTGCCCCCTTTCTATAATCATGATTTTGATGGGATATCATTAAAAAATGATAATTGTACAACGATCGACGTTTTTTCTTCCGTTTACACTTCACTGTTTTAGATTTTAATTTATACTTACTTTATGATCTAAATGTTGACGAATATCAATAATTTGTACATTCAGATTTTTGAGTCAGTGACTGATAAATAAAAATAGTAATAAGGTCTAAAAATACGGATATTTATATAACTTAAAAATTTCATTAGCTTTATTCATGAAATAAGGGATTATAGATATTCAAGCTGCTAGTCTAATAAGAACCTTATTAGACATGCACAATTACAAGTCAATGTACAATGCCGACTCCTGATATATTTAAAATAAGGGCAGGAAGAATAAGAATTACATGTGTTTAAGTCTAATAAATTTTGAGTTATGGGGGATCAGAAAATAGCTTGAAATTCTTGTCGTAAATAAACACACTGCTGATGCATCACCATTTGCTTTTCTGAACTTTGCTCACATAGTGCCATGAGTCTAGATAAAAAAGTAGTTTTTTTATTTCAACTACTTAGATCATAATTTACACCTGCAGCTGATTCTGAGTACTAATACTAAACCGTTAACCGCCTTTCATTTTATGTAGATTATAAAATATGACAAAGTGAAATATACACCACAATATCAAAGTGAAATATACTATTTATTACATTCGATTATTTTATTTATTTTAGATTTAAGATTGTCTACAAAGCCCCCTTCTCAATGAAGCGATCATACCTGATTGCCTGTGTAACTTTTAATGAGACCTTTTACAATAAACAAATGATAATCTTTTTATGTAAAAATGTAACATTATTACATAAGAACATTATCACTTATTTACTTACATTATCTTATTACATTATTTTACTACCTTATCTAATTCACTATCTGGTGTTTCTGTTAGCAAATCCGTCATTGAAACAGTCAAATATAAATGATGTAATGCCATTTTTTCTGATTAATGCAACAAGTGTGACATTGGTGAATTATCAAAACCTCCATAAAAAAGAAAGAAAGAAGAAGAATGTAACAATGATGATGAGATGAGAAATAAATAATAACATAAAGCTAGTTAAGTATTGAATCAAAGAATCAATGTCAAAGAATAATAATAATAATAGTAATATATTTTTATTTACTCTCACAATTTAAATTAACAATAATACACACACACTCACACACACACACACACACACACACACACACACACACACACACACACACACACACACACACGCACGCACGCATGCACACACACACACACACACACACACACACAAAAGTAACTAATAATAAATTTCTCTCAATTGTTAATCAAACAAATAACTTGTTCAGCTATGTTGATAATATCCTGAGGGGGAGACCCTGGTGATCCGTAACACAGGCTTCCGCCTAGTATAGACACCAGACTCTCAGCCCATAGAGTACACTGTTTATACTCTAACTTGTTAATTTAAATTGTGGAGTAAATAATGTCAAAGAATGATTCATAGTTGTAAGAAAAAATAAGCAAAAAAATATATAAATCCTCCAATAGCCAGTAGCAATGTTGTAAGAAATTTCAACACGGAATAAGCAGCCTTTGTACATTATGTTCCTTTTACCACTTTCCTATCAAAGTATGTGTGTACATAAACTATTAAATAAATATATAATAAAAGTGTAATAAGTAGTTTTCAGTCCACCCTAACTAGTGTGCATTTATCGAAATAGTTTATTCCTAAACATTGATAATATTAAAATATATAAATACAATTGATATTATCTTTTATTTCTGATTTATCATTATTATTTCTCCTCTTTACAGAATGGTATCACTTCAACCACACCCTCAAAATAGTACATTCCTTCCAAAACATACTCTGGTACAATTATTTTGACGTATATGTTTTATATTTTACTAGTAGCCTCCAATATTGCTGGTATGAATATTGTAATTAACTACTGCTCATCCTGTATGCCAAGTGTGACATGACAGTTGATTGAATTAATGAAGAGGAGGTTTTTTAAATATATATAAATATATATAAAATTTAAATATTGAACAATGGATAGTGTATTTTGTGTCATATTGATCCTTGAGTCCACTGCTGAACATAGGCCTCCCTCATAGAGAGTGGGGGTATGCAGGGATTTTGCAGTAGTTACCACGCGTGGCCAGCGGACTGGTAACTGCAGTTTTTTATTATATTGAGTTGTTATCAGGAAGCTGCTGCTGCCCATTGCCTGTTTCATTTTTCCTCTTTCGTAATCTATTGTATTGATGTTTTCAAACAATTCAAATTCTATTTTCCAGATGTTGAAATTAGGATTTAATTTAACAAGACACGCAGGAGTAATTTTGAAACGCATGATGTCAACTCAGGAACAAGAAGTCTTATTTGAGACCGTAAACAATGCTGGCATTATCACATTAAACAGACCAAAAGTATTAAATACACTAAATGAAAACATGGCCTGTATGATTCTAGCAAAACTTCAAGAATGGGAGAAAAGCAAAAACTTGGTTATTATAAAGGGATCAGGTGACAAGGCATTCTGTGCTGGTGGGGATGTTAAAGCAGCTATAGACAAAGTAAAGGGCCCAAGATTTTTTCATGTAGAATACAATGTTAACTATTTAATAGGAAAATATAAAATTCCATACATTGCATTTATTAATGGTATCACTATGGGTGGAGGTGTGGGACTTTCCATTCATGGGAGGTACAGAATCGCAACAGAGAAAACTGTGTTCGCAATGCCAGAGACAAAAATAGGTATATTCCCAGATATAGGTGGTTCATATTTCTTATCAAGAATGCAGGTCAATTTGGGATTGTACTTGGGTCTAACAGGTAAATACAATGACTGAAGTTTTCAATATTTCCTTACCTTGGTGTCAACACTTGATAACAATAGTATAATAGACCAGTACTGAATATTCTATTATATTACTTATTAGTCATTATATTCAAAATGATAATCACCATTGCCTTTGAAATTCAATAATTGATTTTGTCCCGATCGGGTATTCGGTTAACAGAGTATAACAAAAAGATCCGACACCTTGACATATATGTGTGCACTGACCTCCTTATGAGAGCCGTATGTTCCTGCGCGCTTGCAGTTAACTAAAGGAGTTACGGAGAGTTGAGTGTAACTTAGTGCGCAATGTACTAAGGGCGCAGAGTCGCAGGTGTGTGTATGTGTGTGTGCGCGTGCGTGCGTGGTGTGTGCTGCGTGTGTGTGCGCGCGTGTGCGTGCGTGCGCGCGTGCGTGCGCGCGTGCGTGCGTGCGTGCGTGCGTGCGTGCGTGCGTGTGTGTGTGCGTGTGTGCGTGCGTGCGTGTGTGTGTGTGTGTGTGTGTGTGTGCGCGGGTGTGTGTGTGTGTGTGTGGGGGTGTGTGTGTGTGTGTGTGTGTGTGTGTATTGGTTACAATTCGCCTAGTAAAACACTTTGCTAAAATGCTGGCTACCCAAAATTATCATATTTTTATTTAGACTTCTATACAGGGTTACATTTTTAAATGTACATTATTATTACATGGCAATAGGCTAGCAGCTTATAGCTGATATAACTGTGTTTTATGATAGTCCAAGCCCACACTATTGTCAACCAAATCTAAGAAATACATTTTGACATCTGTCAGACTTTACGTAGACTTACGTAGTCGTACAAAATTCGATTCTTTAAAAAAATCGATAACGATTATTTAGAGTTGGTAATAATTTACAGTTTGGTTTGAATAAATAAACCAGAATAAATAAAAAAACGCATAATTTAAAACACAAGATTGATCAGTTTCTTCTTATTTGTTGTTACTGCTTATTTCTAGAGGCACATTTATAAAAATTTAAGATTGAAACTAGATTAAAAATAAATTTATTCAATCACTTTCAGTACAACTAGTTGAGCTGTCGTTGTTTAGATTAATTATTATTTGATTTTCGATAATGCAGTCAAAATTAATAAGAAGACAAATACAAAATTACAAAATTACACACAGTAAGCTCCCGAAATGGCGGAAGATTGAAATTACGTAGTAGTTTTTTCAGCGCGGCCTTGTATATGAATTTTTTTGCTTACCCAAGTTTGCGTTCACAAATTTAAAAAAAAACTTGTTTTGTTCATGATTGATGATTTTTAAAAACAAAATTAAGTTGAACAAATCATACATTTAAAAAATAACGATTCCATTATTTGAATATTTTTACCGATTATCTGAATATTTTTGCCGATTATTCACATAACAATGAATTTTAATCATCCAAACACTACGGTAAGGTACATAGCGACATATCATTGAAACGACGTCAAGTAAAAAAAGGTGATACTGGATATTTTTTTAGTATCTTGCTTTGTTTGAAAGATGCGAATTTAAATTAGTGATAAAAAATATACACGAGGTAAAGAAATATACATAACTTTATAATTCTTCGGATTTACGGAAAAGGTTATTTTAAATGTCGTGAGTACGCTTGAGCAAAGTTATTGCGAAATGATTAATGTGAAACGTCAAAAGGTATTTCTTAGATTTGGTTGACTATAAGAATACAGTGTATTTGGATTGTCTTTGCATCATTTGTCTAGTCTGTTTTTAAAACTTATCACAGAGGGAGCATCAACCATGTCTTGAGGCAAATTGTCCTATATGTTTGTGACTCTGTTGTTTAATGTGTGATTTCCCACATTATTGTATAAGGGATTATGAGCTAATCTCATATATACTAGAATTATTTTGTCTGTGCAGTTTGGGTCATAAATCATCGCAGTATTTCGCTATAGTTCGGCTAGCATAGTGATGCGCGTTATTGTTGTCGATAAGCGTTATCAATAGTGTATTTAGTTTTGTCATTATGTGGGTTAGTGATAAAAATGAAAATGAAAATATTATTATGCTAGGAGATTTTAATGGAAGGGTTGGGGTGAGGAATCTTGGTTATGAAAGGATATTGGGAACGTTTGGTGATGAAAGTATAAATGAGAATGGTGAAAGTCTCCTCACCATATGTATGGAAAAGAATCTTTTTGTGACGAACACTTGCTTTCGCCACAAGAGGATTCACATGTATACTTGGGAAGGAGGTGACGATAGAAGCATGATAGATTTCATAATTGTGGATGTAAGATTGAGGAGCGCAGTGGTAGATACAAGGGTTTACCGGGGTTCTAACGTAGGAACGGATCATTATTTGGTTTTATGCCGAATTAATGGTCTGTTCAGGCGTTGGCGCCATCGATCATCTGTGTCTACCACTGCGTTACAGCGTATTAGAACAGAAAGGTTACAAGATGAAGGTGAGAAAAACAAGTTCAAATGTAGACTGAAAGAAAATATAAGTGGTTTGGATGAATTATGTATGAAGGAGTTAGACTTGGAGAACGTATGGCAAAATGTAAAGAAAGGTTTAGTGGATGCAGCTACCGAAGTATGTGGTGTTAGTAAGAGAAAAATTGAAAGGAAAAATAATACGTTATGGTGGGATGATGAGATACGTATGGAAAATGAAGCAAAGAAGAGAGCATGGCTAGATTTACTAGCAACAAAGGCTGGTAATTCTAGCGGTACGAATGATGATATTGAAAGAAAAAGGCAGTCTTTAGACATCTAAATAAGAGAGTAAAAGAAGTAGTTGAAAGAAAAAAGCAAGAAAGAACGGATAAGAATTATAGAAGAATATCGGATAACTTCCAGGCAAATATTAAAATGTTCTGGAAACTTGTGAGAACTGCCAGGGGACATTCAAAACAGCCTATGATGAATGCTATTTGAGACGAGAATGGCTATATTCTGAATGATGAAGTTTTGAGTTTAAAGAGATGGAAGGAATATTTTGAAAGCGTGTTTATGAGACTGGTGCAAAGCCGTGATAGTCCCAGTATATAAAGGAAAAGGGTCGCAGCAGGACTGTAAAAACTACCGTGGCATCAGCCGTCTTAGCATTGTGGGAAAACTGTATGCTAAGGTACTGATTGAAAGGGTCATGAAAGAAACTGATGGAAAAATTTGGGATGTGCAAGCGGGATTTAGAAAGGGAATGGGATGTACAGATCAAGTCTTTTCCAAGCGCATGATCGCGGAGAAGTTTTTGGCCAAAAATCAAAAGGTTTTCTGTGCGTTCATGGACTTGGAAAGGGCCTATGACAGAGTGGATAGGGATGTGCTATGGCAAACACTGAACTCATTTGGGTTGAGCGCTGGCTTGATACAGGCATTGGAGTCTCTTTATAAGGGACTCTAGTGCTTGTGTTAGGATCAACGGGGTCTACTCGGACTGGTTTGACATCCATAAAGGTGTCAGACAGGGCTGTGTGGCTTCCCCGTGGCTGTCAACCTATTTATGGACAGTTGTTTGCAAAATTTGAAAGTTGAAGAATGCGGATTAAGAATGGGTGAGTTAACCGTCAAATGCCTTTTGTACGCCGATGATCAAGTTATTCTTGCGTCGTCTGCGGCCGAGTTGCAAATGACGGTTACATTAATGAACAAATTATTAAAAGAAAGGGGTATGAAAGTAAACGCAAGTAAGACGAAGGTTATGGTTTTTGAAAGAGAAGAAAGTAAAACGATTTGTGAAATAAGAATAGAAGGGGAGTTGATCGAGCAAGTAAATGAGTTTGTATATTTCGGCTGCGTATTTAGCAGGGATGGAGATATGATAAGGATATAGAACGACGAGTGAATGCGGGAAATAGAGTAAATGGGGCCCTGCACTCTATTGTGAAGAGTCCAAATGTGTCAAAAAAGGCCCGTATGGCAATTCACAATGCTGTGTTGGTCCCTACTTTAACTTATGGTAGTGAAAGTTGGGTGTGGCAGAAGAAGCACGAGAGTAGAATGAACGCAGTAGAAATGCGGTCGTTAAGGAGTATGTTAGGGCTGAATCTGAATGACAGGGTAAGAAATTGTGTAATAAGAGAAGAGTGTGGTTTGCAAGATGATGTTGTGACCAGGATTAAGAAAGGAATGCTTTGGTGCTTTGGTCATGTGGAAAGAATGAATGAGGAAAGAGTGACAAAGAAAATTTATGTTGCAGAAGTGAATGGCAGAGTCAGAAAGGGACATCCTAGGCGAAAATTTATCGATCAAATTGGCGATTTATTGAAAACGGGCCAAATTAGGAGTACCCTTAACCGACGAGCATGTGTATAGATGTGAAGGAGGCGAGAGAGGTGTGTCAGGATCGTACCAAATGGAAGTCTGTAGTCTCTGCCTACCCCTCTGAGTGACAGGCGTGAGTGTTTATGTTATGTTATGTTATGATAAAAATGAAAAAAAAAATAGATATAACAACATATTTATTAAAATAAGAATAATAAGGATTTAAAATAAATGATTAATTAGGTATCTATGTATTAATAAAACTATAAGTACAAATGTTTGAAATGTAACAAGTTATTTTAAAAATAAATATAAATAGAAAGACCTCACTGCCGCCGTGTATCTGCCTTCAATAATTCATTTGTTGTTATCGATAATGGCGTTGCTCACCGTCCTAGTCAGGCTGAAGCCTAGCTATGATTTATGACCCCAACTGCACGGACAAAATAATTTTACTATAGTTAGGATGTCTAGCTTGGTGGATATTGCTGATGTTAAAAATATGTAACATACTTTACATTTTTCGTCAATATTTTGTAGGTCTCAATAAGGTATCTGAGACTGCGGGGTTTCAGCATAGATGGATTCAATATTTTTAATCTCTCTTTGTATGACTACAAAAGCATAATGGAATCTTAGTGGCGTTTCATTGTACACTGTCCAGCAAATCTACATTCTTAAAAAACACGGGTTCCAAATTTGAAATCCATACTCTATAAGCATGTATGTTTTATAGACTTGGAGAAATGTATCTGGAGTCAGCTGCTGAAACAATCACCTATATATAATTGCATACAAATCGCAGTTGCCTTCTTGAAAATGCTATGGATGTGGTTAGACCTTGACTGCCTCGTTTGTTTCGGGTTCGAGACCTGGAGCGGGTCAAAAAATCAGTTATTGCGTTTTTTTTTTTAAATTTAATTATTTTTTTAATTTCGAATTTACTACAAAATTCCTATCCTACAAGCCAAATATAACAAGATTCCCAAACAATTTGAGTTTTATAAGAAATATAAGATACAACTGAGCAAACCTAACCAGCTGGAGGGTTTAAACCCTGAAGAACTTTGAATTTTCACGGATGGTTCTAAAACAAAAAATGGCAGGTATAGGATCTGGAACTTTCTCGGTAAACCTCAACATTCGTATATGTACACCGCTGGGTACCCACAACATGGTCTTTTGGGTTGAAGGTATGCATATAATATGTATGAAACTGCGGCCTACATGTAGCCGGAGTGTCCAGAAGTCGCCTATAGAGGGCTAAACATACAAGTGGCTATAGCAATAGATGACAAGAAGGTAAAGGTCTTCTCCATCAGAATACTGTACCGACAGCACTAATATATGAATTCCATCTACGGCTAAATGAGGTATGTCAATAGAACAATGTGACTACAATGAATGGGCAGGGCAGGGGCAATGAAATAGCAGAACTGGCTAGGGGAGGATCAGCTCTAGTCGCCATAGGACCGGAACTGATCATACTGATTCCCTTTGAGAATGTTCGTTCACACACACACACCGTTCAAGATTTTAATGAGACGTAACAAACCACAGATCAGGATAGCAACAAGGGCTCTTACAGGATACGGCTCTTTTAACAATTTTTTTTTTGTAATGTGCTTGTGTTATACTTTTGCCAGTGTCAAGTATATTAAGAAATTATCTTTTAAGATAATTTGTTTTAAAACTTCTTCGCAGTATGTTGATGCGTCACATTGTAAAGTTTTTGGGAGACTTTAACATCAGCTTGAATCAGCAGATAGTCGATGACGATAGTATCTCAAGACGGTTAAGCAGACACATAATCTTGAAATTAAACTCACGATCAAAGCACTTGTTTCATCATTTTCATTAATAGTTTACATGCGCAAATATGTAATATATATATTTACACCACTTTTACGTATGAAAATCCCCTTCAAACCATTATTTGAACAATGATAAATACAGGAGAAGCAATTCACCGCCGGCCAAGATCCCGTCAAAACTCGTAACAAAAATTTATTCACCATAGGTGTTATAGACCGTTCCCTGTGCAGGGCATGTATGAAAGAGGAGGAAACTGCGGCCTACGTGTAGCTGGCGTGATCAGAGGTCGCCTATACATGGCTCAACACACCGGCACGCCGTGATCACTCGACGACGTTTTTGGCAACATCAAAGAACTGTTGAATTTCTTTAAGGAGATTTCGTGGCTCGAATAATCACAATATTCCTGCTCACACAAAATACGCTCTTAGACGTGGAGTTGCGGAAAATAGTCCATCGTAAACTAAACTAAAGTTCACTTTTTGTTTGGATATAACAAAATTACATTTTGCTATTCTAGTTTGAAGCAGGCGTAATATTTCCTTCAACTCCAAAGAGCATGTTTTGGGGTTTTGTGTGTTTTTAAAAAAAATATTTTTAGTTGTTATCAGGAAGATGCTGCTGGCCTTCTCCTACTTCAGTTTCCCTCTCTCGGCGACGATGAAAATTCCACTACCTTATATTATTGTTCTCTCGGTGTCAAAAGAGACGAGAGAGAGCAACTTAAAGAGAGATGGGTAGCAGCAGCATATCGATAACTCAAAATAATAAAAAACACGCAAAACCGCAAAGCATGCGGTTAAATAAAAAAACTGCGGCTGCCAACCTACATGCCAAGCCTGGCAACGGAGGCCTACGTTCAGCAGTGAACTTTTAGAGACAGTAATGGATATTGGAGCGATAAACGAAGAAAATTTCCAGGCTAGCCCAGGTTGTTGTCCTTCATTATTTGAGGTTAGTCCAAGGATCGTCTTCTTTCTGTCTTTACGTCAAGTTATTTGGAGTCGGCATAGCATGTCTTTCTGTTCTATCCACTTTCATAGACAGCAATCATGCTATAATATGATTTTCTTCCCTTCACATTATATGACCATTATACACTAGCGTACCACTTCTCAACTTTTCTGTGACTAGGGCTGCTGTTAAACTGTCTACAGGGATCCGTGGATCTTAATGCTATAACTATGAAAGTAGATTAGAGGTATTGGAAATTTTTCTTATATTTTTTTCTGCTATCACTTTAAATTATACTATTTTAAATGCTCGAGGGGTAAGTATGATGTTTAACTTTTTTCATTAAGTTATCTTCATAATTTCTTATTTCCACAATCCACAAAACATGCGCTTGAACGTGGAATTGCGAAAAATCGCCTGTCCTAAACTAACCTACACTTTTCGTTTTGATATAACAATACTATCCAGCTATAGATTGAAATAGGCTATTTCCCACAACTTCAAAGCGCATATTTTGTGTGTATTTTTTTATTAGAATTTGTTATTGAGATGATGCTACACACCGTGAATATTCTTACACCATTACACAGAACCATGTATGTAATGGCGTATAGAATATCCACTACCCTGTGTCGTCTCGTGAGTGTAAGTGGCGAGAGATGGAAACTGAAACAGGATTAGGCTGAGGCATCTTCTTGATAACAACTTGAAATTATAAAAACTGCAGCTGCCTACCAATATGCCAAGCCTGACAAATATAGTAACACCCCCCCCCCCTTTATGAGGCAACGTATGGGGGAAGCCTATGTTCAGAAGTGGACTTTTATAGACAAATGGATATTGGAGTGAAACATGAAGAAAATTTCTAGGTTTTATGGCAGTCCGTTATTTGAGGTTATTAGTCCTAGGATCGGTTTCTTCTTTCTGCCCTTATCTCAAGTTATTTGGAGTCGGCATAACATGTCTTCCATTCTATCCACTTACATAGACAACAAAATTCTTATCTGATTTTCTTCCTTTTGCATATTATGACAATTACACGCTATGCTACCACTTCTCAACTTTTCTGTGTCAGGGGCCGCTATGAAACTGGGTCCGAAGATCTTTACGCTATAATTCAGTAGACTAGAGGTATTGGAAATTTTTCTTGTAATTTTTTTCATTCTACAACTTTAAACTGTACTACTTTGAATGCTTGAGGAGTATTACTGTTTTATATTTTAATTTGGTTTTATCCGTAATGATCTCTTCATTTCCACAAATTCCATTAAAAAATTCTATAAAGTATTCATAAAAATATCTTTTAAAAATCTATAAATAACATATTTTTGGATTTATCTCTGTATGTTGAGTAGTTTCTAAAATTAAAAAATAACATCTTTCAAAAAACTACATTTTTAAAAACTTTTATCTCTACTACTTCTTCATTTTGTTCCAAAACAAATATACTTACTTGAAATCATAGGTCCTTCTTAGAGTATTATGCCACTGATAGGGATTTTCTATACTACTTCGCTATCATTCTTTACCTCAAAGACTTCCTATGTATACTATTAGACCGGCAATTCAGAACGAAACCTGAATCGTGCGGGCGCGGGCGGGTAGCTGTCACGATAGATACGCCAAGTGGTTGCATTTTCAATTACGACAGTTATGGTTTTTAGGCAAATAAAAAAAATTACATAGTTGTCCGAAATAAACTTCAAATCACGTTGACAAAGTGTACACTTAAATTATGACAGCGTTTTCTTAGTCACATTAAAAAAAGCAGTGTTAGATTGTCAGAAACAACGTTCGCGGTTTACAAAACAAAGAACTATTCATTTCACCCACTCGCAATCGACTAAAGACGTTACGGAGAATTAACCGTAACTTAGTGTGCAATGTATTAGTACCGTAATGCCCGCCTAGTAGCGTACATAAAAGTCTTTTGCTTATCAATTAGTCTCCTATATTACATATTTTTACTTCCCTTAGACGCTAGCTCGTGCGGACACTAGCCCGGCTCTATCAATCTATACCCTATATCATCCCATACTATTTTATTTTTTCAGGTGAAAGATTAAAAGCAAAGGATGTTGTAAAAGCTGGAATTGCGACTCATTTTGTACCCAGCAGCCGTTTGTATGAACTGGAGAAACTACTTTCCCGTTGCAATAACGACGTAGAAATACGTGCGCTACTAAACAAATTTAATGAACCATCGGAGGAGTTTTCGTTAGCATCTAATATTAAACATATTAATTACTGTTTTGCGGCTTCTTCCATTGAAGAAATCATAGAAAGGCTTGAGAAGGTTAATAATGACTGGTCCGCTAAAACTCTTCAGGTTTGTACAATGTTTGTATTCATGATACATTTTCGCCATCTAACTAAAGCCATGTATATAAGCGACGAGTTGGGCGCTGAGGGCCGCGGGTTCGAATCCATCACGCAACAAGTATTTTTATAGCCTACAAATAATTGTTATGGATCTGGATGTTTGACCTTGTAAAATTTATGTCAACCGCCTCTACGATACGCACTCTCAATTCACTCACTCTCATAGTCTGATAGGATGGCCAACACGACCGGAGGGAGAGAGAGAGAGAGATCAAGCGCTGGACCAACGGCTTTATCTACTTGACTCCGGGCTGCTACTGAGAATTTGTTGATAGAAAAACCCAATAACTGATTTTGGCCCGACCCGGGATTCGAAACCGAAACCTCTTGATTAGCCACTACGTTTACGGCCACTAGACCAACGAGGCAGTTAGTACACAGCGACTGACTGAATACATGAGTGTAATATTTCCTGCAGACTCTTGGTCAGTTGTGCCCTGGCTCGCTGAAGTTAACGCTGCGTGCTCTTCAACGTGGTGCCCAGCTGGACCTGCCGCAGTGCCTGCGCATGGAGTACCGCATGATTTGCCGCGCAACGCAATCCCACGATTTCCCTGAAGGTATACCATCTTTTTTATTAATAAAATTACTAACAAGGCTATTGACATAATTAATATTCCAAATAACCACTCCTGGTAAGCTTAAAATGCTTTTGTTAGGAGTTCATGACATTAGTCGGATGGCGGATTTGTACCCACGACTTTTGATTTATTGGTCCGCATGAAGTGACAATTTCCTTTCAATTTCATCGGTTTTACCACCTCCTATAAACCCAGTTGATAACCCAAAGTCGCTTCTGTCATACAATGAATTTGTCAATATGATACTGATAATGTTGCACAAGGAAAACTTCATATTAAGATATCGCAAAACTAGAACCTAGAAAAATAATAATTATATCCTCCAGACCGATTTCCGATCACCACCGCCAGTCTCAAAGATAGTGCACAAGTGTGTGCAAAAACACAGGTGCACTCTATCCAGTATCAGTGCACTCATTCCAGTATTCCAATGAGACAGTAACCTAACACAACTAGAGAGAGGTCATGCGCAAGACTGCTTTAACTGCTTTCTGGGGCATGGGGGTGATACACATTTTCTTGGTAGAAAATTGGGTTTATATGCCTTGGGTTTTAGCCCAACCTGGGGCTATATGATCAGTCGAGTTTACAACCTATGACAAAAGAGGATTAAAAACCAAAAATAAAAACGTGTTCCCTGATGTTCATTTTCATAAGATAAAAAAACTTCTTTATGTATTTACAGGATATGATAAATCATGTCTTGGATTGATTAATTAGGCATTGGGATTAATTAGTTATTAAGAGATTACGACTAATTAGATTATAAATCTGAGTACCTAATAAGCCTAAATCTGTTTTTAGCCTATAATACTTACATAATTGAGACAAACATCCAAACAACTTCACAAATTATTATATCACCATCATCGAGTCCATTGCTGAACACAGGCCTCATAAGGGGAGATATTTGCCTACTACGAAGATTTTTTTTAAACTTTTATTACTAATATTGGTTTGTTATCACAAAGATACCTGATTGAGTTTTTCTCTATCGTCTCTTACGACTTGATATGATATGGATGGACGAGATGATATGGGATATTGGATTATTTTGCGCCACAACTACACGGCTAACAGTATATAAATAGTAATACTGATTTAAATTTATATGTGGTAGAGCCATGCTGCAGCTATATTTTGGTTGTAGCAATAAGTTGGCTCGACCGGGGAAGGACTACGCTCTTACAGAATACCAGCGTAAAATAGTAACTTAATGCTGCTGTGTTTCGTGTGGTGAGTGTAGAGAACTGGAGACCCTTTTTACTGAAAACGAGGCATTCCATCTTAGGGGTGAAAACGCGTCTGCATTTTAAATCCTAATTGAGGATAAATGTTCTTCGACGTCGTCCAAATGGCTACAGATTCGTTGCTACAGCAGATCCCCTCCGCAGAGATCGTGATCCTCGGCGACTTTAAAGGCCCATCACGCCGAATGGCTTGGTTCACGTTTATCTGATCATGTGGAAAGATCTGTTCATGATTTTGCCTTGTCATATGATCTGACACAACTGGTTACTTCGCGTACGCGGATTGCAGATGTGGAGGATCATGCACCTTCCCTGTTGGACCTTCTGTTGACCTCTCACCCGGACGGATATCAGATTTCCGTCGACGCCCCTTTAGGCTCCTCGGACCATTGTCTAGTCCGGAGTGTGGTGCCACTCATGCTGAAATCGCAGTTGCATTCTGCAGGCTGCCGCCGTGTATGGCACTATGGTTAGCCGATTGGGATAGGATGCGGTCTTTCTTTGCATCCTACTCTTGGGAGCGGTTTTGCTTCTCGCCGGATGATCCCAACGTTGTTGCGGATTCTGTCGCTGATGTGGTACTTCAGGGTATGGAACTTTTTATTCCTTCCTCTGTGGTGCCCATCGGAGACAAATCTCAGCCATGGTTTGGTCGCTCGTGTAAAATATCATCATGCTATAAGCAGGAGTGCTACCATGCCTGGGCTGACGCATCAACGTCCCGGGATATAAACACTAAGAAAGAACTCTAAACAAGAAGTATAATTCCGCCTCCAGGTCCTTCAAAAGAGTCATTGCCAAGGCAAAGTCAGAGCACATAGGCAGAATTGGCGAGAAACTAGTTCGCATTCCATCTGAAACCCGTGCATTCTGGTCTCTCGCCAAGGCTGTCTAGGGGAATTTCTGTCAGCCATCTCTTCCATCTCTGCACAGGGAGGACGACTCACTGGCCCAACTCGACTGTCTATGACGGGAGGAGTACGCTGCCGACCATCCCGTGGTGTGAGTGCTCCATACGAGAAATGCAGTTCACACAGCGCTCGGTTCGCAAAGCACTCCTCTCCCTGGACATCCACAGGTCGAGTGGGCCTGACGAAATCCCCCCAATTGTGCTGAGGACGTGTGCTCCAGAGTTGGCACCGGTTTTAACGCGTCTTTTTTCGGTACTCCTACTCCCTAGGCGTAGTCCCAAAATCATGGAAGACGGCTTTCATTCACCCGATCCCTAAAAAAGGCGACCGCTCAGACCTGTCCAACTACCGGCCTATCGCCATCACCTCCTTGTTCTCCAAAAGAATGGAGTCCATTGTAAACTGCCAGCTCATGAGGTACCTTGAGGATCACCGGCTGATTAGTGATCGCCAATACGGTTTTCGCCGTGTTTGATCAGCTGGTGATCTGGTCTACTTAACTCGTAGATGAGCGGAGGCAGTAGAGTCCAAGGGGGAGGCATTGGCCGTTAGTTTGGACATTGCGAAGGCCTTCGATCGGGTTTGGCATAAAGCGCTTCTTTCGAAGCTCCCTTCCTTCCTATGAGCTTCCCGAGAAATTGTGCGATTGGATCACCAGCTTTCTAGCAGATCGGAGCATCAAGTTCGTTGTAGACGGTGCAAGCTCCGATTACAAGCATATTAATGCTGGTGTTCCACAAGGCTGCGTACTATCGCCAACGCTGTTTCTTCTGCATATCAATGATATGTTGCAAACCCGTAACATTCATTGCTATGCAGATGACAGCACTGGTGATGCTCTGTACACCGGCCGTGCCAATATTTCTCGGGAAAACGTCTCTGAGTACCGGGACAAACTTGTGTCTGAAGTCGAGTCAGTCTTTGCTGAACAGATTCTCGGATTGGGGGCGACTAAATCTAGTCCAGTTTAACCCCCAGAAGACACAAGTTTGCGCGTTAACCGCTAAAAGGAACCCCTTTGTCGTATCTCCTCAGTTTCAAGGCACTTCCGTTGTTGTCTCAGCCAGTATCTGAATCCTCGGCGTCGACATATCGAGTGACGTGCAGTTTCGTGGTTACTTGGAAGAAAAGGCCAAATTGGCCTCTAAAAAGCTTGGCGGGCTTAGCAGAGCGGGACAGTATTTCATGGCGGCACACCGCCTGCAACTTTACAAGGCGCAGGTTCGGCCGGACATGGAATAGTGTTCCCGTCTCTGGGCTGGAGCTTCCCAGTACCAGCTCCTTCCACTTGACCGCATCCATCGTAGAGCGGCTCGAATCGTCGACGACCGAGTGCTTTCCGATCGTCTCGATTCACTGGCGCTGCGAAGAGATGTTGCATCTCTTTGCATTTTCTTTCGCATATATCATAGGGAGTGCTCTGAGGAATTGTTAGGATTAATCCCAGCCGCCAAATTTCGTGAACGCACTACGCGGCAAACGTTCTGATACCATCCACACCATCTGGATGCTTGGCGGTCCACTACTGTACGTTTCACAAGGAGTTTTCTTCCGCGTACGACCTCTCTGTGGAATAGTTTACCACCTGGGGTAAACTATTCCACAGTCCTGGGGACCTTCAAGAAAAGAGTTTACTCCTTTCTGAAGGGCTGGCAACGCACCTGCAATTCCCCTGGTGTTGTTGTTGTTGTGTGTTGGTGTTGGTTTGATCATGGGTGGCGGTAGTCACTTAACATCGGGTGAGCCGCATGCTCGTTTTCCTCCACTTCTATAAAATAAAAATAAAATGTTAATAGACATCTCTATGGACCACAGCATCCCCTTATTATCAGGTGGACTGTGTACTTGTTTGTCAACCTTATTCAATAAAAATATGAAAATATGTATATGCAAATATGTGTTGGTTTTGCGACAGTACAACTTTTGATTATCATGCAATTGCGTTTAAAATGAAATTGGTTGAGAATATCATCATTTGTTCTCGAGATAAAAAGCGAAAAAGTGGAAAAGCTAACTAATGTACGAACTTCTCACTCTCTTTCGATCTGTAACTAAGAGAGTGATATCAACTCGCATAGGCTTCTAGAAATTCTCTTTTCTAAGCCAGTGCTTAAACACCTGATGGTAAGTAATAATAATAATAACAATAAATATAAAAACAATAAAGGCGTAGGGAAGTGACGACCCGTCGGGTCGTCACATGGGGACGTAACCGTTATGTGACAAAACCGTGACTACGTCAGCGCAGTCAGTCAGCACCTTGCCAAGAGGTGTTAGTGCCGTGCCTCGGCAAAAATTGAAGGTGCAAGGGCCCGCTTGTGCACATGGCCTCACCATGAAACGGCGCCGGGTTTGGGCGTCTCCCGTTAAATGACTGAATGAAATTAAATAGAACGCGCAAAGTGCCTGGAGGTCGCCAGGGTGCATCTGGAGCTGGTGCTGGACGCGACAGCATGCGAACCGCCAGCCGAGCGCGAGGTGCTGCACGACCACCCAGCAGCCCTTCGCATCCATCATCCCCACCAGCTGGCTTGGTGTCGGCAGGGTCTTCGCGGGCCCAGCAATCGGCATCCGCCACTGGTGGAGTACGCCGCATGCGTTGGACAACCCAGATGAACAGCAACGCATTGCGGGCGTATTTTAGGGCGAAAGGGGGAGAAACTGGAGGTTTTGCGTATCCGACAAAGATGCATCGACTTTTCGCTGAGCGGGAGCCATCTGTAACCGTCACCGAGCAAAACCTGGCAGACCGAGTTCGGTATATCTTGCGCTCAAATATATTTGATGGCGCCGAACTCGAACGGTTACGACGTGAGGCTGTTCCTTCATCGGGTGAAAATGCTGCGGCTGAGGATGCGGCGCCACAACTTGCTGAGAAAACGGCAAACGGTTGATTCAAACGATGATGGAACAGTCGCCCAGGAACTGGAACTAGAGCAAATGAGGAGTACATTGGCAGAGGCAATTGTGGAAACGCGCAGTACGCCTCTCAAAAATCGACCGCGACTCCCCCGCATAGCCCTAAGCAAGAGGAATCGGGCTGTCGTGAGTGCTCTGAACCTAATGCTGGTGACCTATTTGGAAGCCAGCCGGGACCTTTGCGAGACGGATACAATTCTTTTTGGCACCGCACTGGCAATCTGCCGTATTATAGGCGTCAAACTTTCCACGGCTGGACGCGCTACTGGACAAAGTAGTACTATCCCAGCCTGGAGAATAAGAATTGAAGAACGTATCGCAAAGGCTAGGGCCCTCATCGGCAGACTGATATGCTTCAGGTCAGGCAATACCAGGCCGAGGATTGTGCGCACCGTCAGGATGGCGTTTACTAGGACAAATGTTAGTTTGTCCCAGCCGGATATAATGCAAAAACTGACGGAGCGCATAGACGACCTGAAGCAAAGAATCGCTGCTTGGGGAAAGCGGATTCGGCGATCTACCTAGAGGTCGACACGGTTCAACCAGAATCGTCTCTTCCAGAGTGATCAGAAGAGACTCTATAAATCATTGGAGCGACCAATGGTAAGTGGAACGGGTCCGGCACTGAATCAGGCCGACACGGTCGCATTCTGGCGCAGCCTGTGGTCAGAGCCCGTAAACCATAACGAGGGCCCTTGGACAGAAGTTGTGGCGAGTCAGTGTGCGGGTATTACGCCCATGGACCCCGTCATCATAACGCCGGATGACGTAGCTGAGGCGGTCCGTAGGACCCTTAACTGGAAAAGTCCGGGGCTTGACGGGCTGCATCACTACTGGCTGAAGGGGTTCATGGTGTGTCACGCTGTGCTCGCCCGACAGTTTCAAGAGGCTCTCGACCAGAAGTCGCTCCCGAGCCTCTTCACTACTGGGATAACTCATTTGGTTCCTAAAGATCAGGGTGCCACAGACCCGAGCAAATACTGCCCCGTCACGTGTCTACCGACCATAAACAAGACACTAACATCCATTTTGAGCGCGAGAATCACTCGTCACCTGGACTTAAATCAGGTGATGTCGTGCGCTCAAAATGGATGTCGGGCGGCGGTCGTGGAACCAAGGAACCACTCCTCATTGACGCGGTCATCGGCAAAGTGGTGAAACACAACCGTCGGAACTTCTTCGCCGCCTGGATAGATTACAGAAAGGCATTTGACTCGGTGCCCCATACATGGCTAAAGAGGGTCCTCGAGCTGTACAAGATTGACTGTACAGTTCGAGACTTCTTCGAACAGTGTATGGGGCAGTGGAGTACAATCCTCTGTTATCTAGGCGAGCGGATGACGGCTGCGGAAACCCGCATAAGGATAAGAAGGGGTATATTCCAGGGCGACTGTCTGAGTCCAATCTGGTTCTGCCTCTCTTTGAACCCTCTCAGTACTTTACTGGAGGGCTCCGGGAGGGGATTTTAGCTTCGGAGAGGAGGTACAAAAGTGATCCACCTTTTCTATATGGATGATCTCAAATTATTCGCCTCCAGTCGCTCTCATCTTATGGAATTGTTAAACATCACTTGTGAATTTAGCAATTCTATTGGAATGGAGCTGGGGCCGGATAAGTGTGCGGTCCTCCATGTTGAAAGGGGAAGGGTTGCTTACTCTGACGGGCATAGACTTATCTATGCCCGTCAACTTAAGGACCCTTTCCGAGGCTGAAACATACCGATACCTGAGTATGTCACAGAACATCGGTATCGATGGGGCTGGTATGAATCAGTCAGTTTGCACGTGTTTTATGCACGCTTGACCAAAGTGCTTAACAGTTTTTTGTCCGGTGTGAATAAGACACAAGCATATAACGGCTGGGTCATGCCTGTCCTCATGTATACCTTTGGCATACTCATGTGGAGTCAGACTGAACTTAACGCCCTGGATAGAAAAGTCCGCACTACAATGACGTCCCATAGGATGCATCATCCGAGATCGTCGGTAATGAGGCTGTACTTGCCGCGAAAGCGTGGTGGGCGTGGCTTCCTGAGCGCGCTCACCATGCATAATCGCGAAGTGTGCAGCCTCCGTCATTACTTCCTGGCGAGATCGGATGATCCATTCTATAGGGACGTCATTTCTAGTGATAAAGGGCTTACCCCTCTATCCTTAGCCAACGAGCAATCGCAGAACCCAGCAGTGAATAGCATTTCCGACCGAGAGACCGTATGGAAGGAGAAGGAGCTCCACGGGAGGTACTACAGGGCTCTACATGAGCCCTACGTTGATACAGTCGCCTCCCTCAACTGGCTACGTTTCGGTGACCTCTTCGGGGAAACCGAGGGTTTTGTCTGTGCAATACAGGATCAGGTTATTAAGACCAACAACTATCGGAAATACATCCTAAAGGATGGCACCGTCGACGTCTGTCGAGCTTGTCGCCATCCCGGGGAGTCACTTAGGCATGTCATCTCCGGTTGTTCGGCACTTTCTAACTCTGAGTACTTGCACAGCCACAACCTAGTAGCCAGAATTCTACACCAGGAGCTCGCTCTGAAATACGGTCTCGTGGACCGGAAATTGCCGTATTACAAGTACATGCCGGAAGCCGTGCTCGAAAATGACCGCGCCAGGCTGTACTAGGACCGGGCCATCATCACAGACAGGACTAATCTTGCGAATAAGCCTGATATTGTGCTGATGGACCGGGCACAGTCAAGGATATTTTTGGTCGACATTACCATTCCGTATGACGAGAACCTCGTGAAAGCCGAAACGGATAAACGAACAAAATATCTGGACCTGGCTCACGAGGTGACTGACATGTGGGGTGGTATGCCGGCGTCTCTGCGAATGGGCTAATCCCAATCAGCCTCTCGGGTCATCTGAGGCGACTGGGACTCCGTGACGGACCGCTCCGGGCTCAAATGCAGAATGCCGTGCTCCTCGATACCGCCCGCATCGTCCGCCGGTTTCTTTCCCTTTCCTCCTAAGGGGGACTTATATAGGCTGTAACTTTAATAGTAGTGTGCGGACCGTGAACTCAAAAGATCGTGGGTTTGAATTGACTGCTCGTCGTTAACCACCTCTAACACAAGCATTTTAAGCTTACAGAAGTAGGTAAAGAGAATATTAGTAATGTTAATTACTTTATTATTTTAAAAAAATAGTGAAACCCACGACTTTTTAGTTTTTTTTGCTATCCATGGGTAGGTTTTCTATATCTCCTACCCATTAGGCTAATATTTCCCCATAGGGTTTAAATTGTCTTTAATGCACTGTTATATGTGACCAAAAACAAAATTATCGTAACAATATATAAAGTAATTGACTGTTATATAAAGTAATTGTCAGTATTTTCAATAAATTTTAGTTTCTCCCTCGGAGGTACAATTTAATAGATATATTTCTCATGATCCTAATCATAGAAAAGCAAATTATTGTCTCCTTAGGAGTGCGGGCTCTCCTCATCGATAAAGACAATAACCCTCAGTGGAACCCAAAGACCCTGGCTGAAGTGACTGAAGAATATGTAGAGAATTTTTTCAAAAAGCTGCCCGAAGATCAAGAGCTGAAGTTTTTCGATTCCAACCTGTAACCACTTGTACTTTGTTACGTACAGGGTTTATACATTCTAATGTTTAAATATAAACATTGTTACAGTTATATGTTAATATTAACGTGCGTGTTTACAATATTTTTATTACAAAATTTCTTAAGATAATGTTGTCTATTTAAATTAAATAAGCTAAATAGTGATTGCTTTTAATCCTGAATGAAATGGCATAAAGACTTTTAAAATGATTTCTTTCTTATATTTTGTATCACTTTATAAATTATTTTTAAAAAAAAAAAAATGATCACGGAAGGTAGAATATATTACAAATAAAATAAAGTTACAAATTACAATTAACTACAAAAGCTGGCATGTATTACTTCTTTCTTACATGCAATAATGTCAGTAATGTAGGTCAAAATAAGTGCACAGTGCACATTTTTATAACCACAGAGTGTGTGTATATATAGTATATATATAGTTTTACAGAGATAAGATCGTTTGATTAGTTATATAGGTAAGTGTACTGAATATATTATATTTATAAGTATATAAAATAATCACAATTTTTATACAATGTACATTTAAGTTACAAATACAGGTCAGTAATAAGTCTCGAATTAGTTTTTAAAATATCAATATGAACTTTCTTTAGAAAAAGTAACTTAAGGAATTTTTGATATTATGAGCATGTATGAGTATAGCATCAAATGTCTTAATAATGGTATGATAAATATCCATCACAATAATTAATTTGGTTTATTGTTGTATACACACTACACAGTGTACTGTTGGAAGACGAAATATAAATATTTTATAATGATGTATTTATTAATTACTCCAGTTTTAATCGTTGATGTTGAGAATAAAATTATATTGTTGTCATACAGGTTTTTATGAATATTATTAGGAATTACTAACTTTAAGAATTAAAAGATTAGAATGTATAATATTTTTATATCTTAATGCAACATTGCTTTTGTTTAAACATATATTAGTGATTATTGGCTGTGTAATTATTGTAAAAGAAGAAACTGTCGAATGTTTTACTGTGTTTTGTAAAATACTATAAAGAATAGAGTTAAAAAATCGTGGAAATAAGTTGACATCATAAACTGACTGAAATCTTTCTGCTATGAAAATAAAAATTTATAAAATTATGGCTTAACTATAAAATAGTGCCAATGTTCTTTAAAAATATATTACATTACCTCATATAGGAAATTTAAGACTACCCGAGGGCAGGGCAGGGAGAACATTTGTCAACACAAATAGAGCTTGCGGTTTATTTTGTATAAAACAGAAATTATTGCTCAGGCAACAAAAACGTGGTGTAAACAAGTGTGCTATGTACATTCTATTTAAGTGTGTGTGAACGTTACAAGTAACGCCTATCAATCCCAGGTCAGGTGGATACAAATCATGTTGGGCCAATTTTAAGCAAACAAGCTATAGCAGAAAATAAATAATTGTATTAACTTAATCAGTAATCAATAATAAATTTGCTAGTTTTTAATTATCAGCTAATTCGAGTTAGTTAAAAATGTCTAAATCCAGCTCCTTGTTATGCGGGAGCATTAACACCTGCAAATATTGTAAAATATCGCTTAAGCGCTTATTACGTTATACAATTTTTAGGAAATCTAATTAGGAAATAGGAAGGTGTAATCGTAGTTAGAACAGTTAGGATCCGATTTAGTCAAATTGGAGGTCCCAATCGCTCTACTTCCTAAATTGTTTACAATTTAGGACAGTGTAATCGCAACGTTACGATTTAGAACAACCAGTCGGCGCCCGCGCTTTGATACAAGCGGATGTCTTGAAGTTTTGATAGAAGTCTGATATCAGAGAGTAGTACTTTAAATCTTAATATTAATTTCCGGTGGCTATAAAACGTAATGTCACCATCAAACATTCTTTGGTACTCACACTTTATCGAAATATTGTGACTTCTTTTTCAATATGTTTGGATACCAAACTTAACAAATATTCAAACTGTTTATACATGGTAGAGCCATGCTGCAGTTATATTAGTAGTATAGTTGTAGCACGAATGGGTCGGCTCGACCGCGGAAGCACCCCGCTCCCACAGAATACCAGCGTAAAATAGTAGCTTAATGTTGCTGTGTTTCATATGGCGAGTGTAGAGAACCGGAGACACTTTTTACTGGAAACGAGGCATTCCATCTTAGTCGTCACAGGTGACAACGCATCTGCATTTTGATTTGTAATCGGAGATAGATGTAGATGTCCATGGGCCGCAGCAACCACTTATCATCAGGTGGACTGTGTGCTAGTTTGTTACCCTATCCTATAAAAAACTGCTTAGAATTTAAAAATATATAATTATATTCATATTGGACAGTTTTTTCTCAATGACAAGTACTCTTTTCTTTTTTTTTAATATCCATTGTTCCCACCATGGCTAAGGCAAATCCTATTTTCTGCTGTTTTGATAAATACGGCGCCATCGATCAAACGTGCAACCCCGTCGATACTTCTTTACGAATGCGGTTCGTTACGATTTAGAATTCAATTTAGTGTAGTGTGATCACTAGCTTCCAATTTAGATTCCTAATTAGATTTCCTAAAAATTGTATAGTGTAATAAGCGCTTTATGTAGATATGTTGTGTAGTTAAAATTATAATAGGTACCGACTGATCTAAAATAACATCACTTAAATGAAAATGCGCGTTCCGAATTCCGAGACGATCGACTTAACGTACGTGTGTTCTTAGGAGTGTAGCAGCCCTAACTATTTTATAACTTCCAAGTTGTCGAGTGGTAAACAATGCCTGGTAAAAAATATATTTACTATATTATTATTGCTGTACTTATATATGCACTGCACATAACAAAAGCATTTATTTTTTGTATTTTGTAATAATTAAAGACAGTTTTAGAACAAATGTGTAATTTAAAATATATATTAATATACACAGACTGTACATCGGTAGCTGATTGTCATTTTTAAATATATTTTTCATAATGCCATTGTAGTTTCATTGCTTTATAGATCCTTTATAACTACACTTTTGTTTTTTAGATTCTCAGGTATACAAGATAGACTAGAGCGACCACCAGGTAAAACGTACAGGCCAGGTAGCCTAGGACTGAGTTGTAATGATGATTATGGCGATGATGATATCTTAACTGTAAATGATTCAAGAGCAAGAACCCACCAGAACTATCGTTATCTGTTAAGTTGTGACTGTGGCGAGTAAGAATGGATTGATTATATACCTAGTACTATATGGAGTACGTAATTTTGTAAATAAGTAATTATGATGGTGTTGAGCGTTGGGTGTGATGAAATTTATTATGAAGCTGTAACAGTATTTATTAATAAAAAGAAAGGAAAGAAATACATATACTGTACATAAGTGATACACGGGCGAATAGTTTGTCGTTCTGGATGTTAAGATGAAGCTCAGGTACTATAACACTAAAAACATTTTAGTTTACGACGGGCTGTTTTCCGCAACTGCACGGCAGCACGTATTTTGCGTGTGGGAAGGAATAATGTGATTATTCGAGCCATGAAATGGACTGTTGAATTCCCCGAATAAGTTCAAGAGTCCTTTGATGTTACAAGCAACTTCGGGGCATAGATAAGAGTGTATACTTCGGGAAGTGATCCCGGCGTGCCGAGACGTTTAGCCTTGTATGCAGCGACCTCGGGACACGTCAGCTTCACGTGCGCCGTCGTTTCTTCCTCCCCCATACATGCCCTGCAAAGTAGACTACTTATGGTAAATAAATGTTTCTTTAGGAGCCATGTCCTGTGATAGCACTTGTTACTATCCTGATCTGTGGCTTGTTCAGCCTCATTAGAACCTTGGTTAAACGACTGTTTATTTCAGGCGGGGCCTCCTTAGCTGGTCTACAGTCTACTAGATTTTTCCTAAACTGAGCTTGTAGATTAGTGAAGTTTCTACGAACCAGTGAACGAACGTTACCAAAGGGGATTGGTATTATTGGTTCCGGCCCTAGAGTTGGCCAGAGCCGATCCTCTTCTGGCCAGTTCGTCTGCTGCATCGTTGTCGCATTGTTGTGTATGTAAACACAACAATGCGACGAACGAACCTCATTTAATCGTTAATTGCATTCATATATTAGACCCGAGTTCACCACATTGCAACTCCGAGCTTGTAGTACCGCCATACTGTCACTCTGAGAAGCACCTTTTTTTTACCTTCCTAGCATCTAATGTTATGGCCGCTTGGATGATACCCATACATTCCGCCTGAAAGACTGTGTTATGGGTACCCAGCGGTGTACATATGTGGATATTGAGGTCTTCAGAGAAAGTTCCAGATCCTACACCTTCATTTGTTTTAGAACCATCTGTGAAAACTCTAAGCTGTTTTGGGTATAATCCCTCCGGCTGGCCGGTTTCATTTAATTGTATCATATACTTCTTATCGAATACAAATTGTTTTGGGATCTTATCGTACTTGGCTTGTAAGATAGGAATTTTTGAGTAAATTCTATCAATTATACCTGTATGAAGGACTCTACTCTTACTCCAAAGATTTAGGGTCTTGAGTCTAATGGCAGCTAAAGTAGGTTCTTGTTGTATATGTAGATGAAGCGGGGTTAGCTCCAGCATAGGCTCTATAGCTGCTGTTGTTGTAGGGTAGGGTGGTGTAAGATTGCGCAGGCGATAAGACTGCGCACCTGTCATTACTCGACATCAGTGAAAAACACGCTGCCAACTTCAGTTGTGTTTTGATTTGTTTTGGATACCAGCATGCGCTCCCGAAAAAATATTGAGATACGAAAGAAAACGGGAAGTCCAGGTGGGTTCAAAGTTTTTGTACGCTCTGATCAAATTTTTTGACATTTTGGCAGTAACTGATGAAACGCCTGTTGGAATTAAAATGTTTTACCGATTGTTTTACTTGTGTTTACTGTTGAAATTTCGACTAGTGACGAATTAGTTCAATAATTTTCTAAATAATGGCAGTAGTCTCAATATGGTTGCGTTGGATGGCAAGTGTGTAAATTTGCGCACTTAGGCGGTGGATAATATTGCGCT